ATCTTTCACTTATGAAGCTTCTAGAAACATCGTAAACATGATGTATCTGGATGTCCTAAATGTCATACCAATTGAAACATGAGGCGTTCAGGTATATCAGATTCGTTTGCTTAGACACATCATAACCTAGAGATTCAGCTAGGTTCCAGGTGAGTCTGTCGCAAAACCAACTTTGTTTGCTAATTCCGTGCAATTCGGTTTCAAGTAGAACGTGAATATGACGGACACCCGCGGACTGCGCCTACTTGATGAGCCTCAAGAAGGGCGAAATCGTAGTCCCGTATCCTGGCGTCAAAGCAAAATCACTCGGCGAATCGGAAATTTCATCCACGATGTTCTCGTGGGTTCCGAAACATGCAAATCAGTTAAAAGAAGCTTATCCACAACCCACCCAGAGATTGAATGCATTGCCTATGAACATTTTGATAGGATACCTGGACATGATCAGAGGAAGGACAACCCATACCCAGGTTGTGGAGCAGCTTCGAGAAGCGACTGTATATCAACAATCACGAAAAATGACATGCAGAAGAATGCCAGTGACAAATACCCAAGTTGATCCGAGAGAGAAGACTCGCACTACTCAACTTCAAAGGAGAGCTGTTAGGAGAACCAGCTTCGAACGTAACTGCCAATGAAATGACCATTTTTCATTGAGACAGATTTCATTGGTTGTTCTTCACTCGCCCTTGACAGATGAGTTGTATTCTTAGTATCACTTTTCTGACCCGCTTGTACGCGACATTGATCAATAGAGCAGCTGGCTCACACGTTCATTGAATTTTCTGGTTTGGCCAAGTGCACCACGTGATCAAACGGCTATCCAGACCGAGTTTCACGGTAATAAGTAGGCATCAGTGAGACTGTGGTCCACAACAAGGGTATAGTTACTTTTGTACCAAAGTTATCCGATACTTGTGGTTCTAACCCCCCCTCCTCACTTGACTCGAAACCACGACCGAACATATTGACTGCCTCAAGTGCGCTTATCTCGGTGTTATGCCTATATCTGCATGTTTTTCTATAATTGGTCATAATTTGTAATTTATTTGTAATTGTGTTTTTACATGTCATTGCCTCCAGACAGCTCTGTTGCCTCAGTTCTTATACTTATTCTGCTCCTAAAGGTTTGCGATTTTGGTGGTTGTACATTGAACTCATCATTTCATACAGTCATGAATGCAGTATTCACTGCCCGTTTTACCTCTGCCCCATATCTACGGAAGTTTAACGGCGTTTCATCTAATATTTTCATGCGTTCTTTTCGGTTCTACCGAGCCCGAGTCTTGCCGAATCCGTAACGAGGCAGTTGGAAAGCGCGTTTTCGGTTGTCCAGAGGGTATTTCCATTGAAGAATGTGTCCAGCACCAGAAGCTGCGTTGGTTGGGACGTGTATTGCGTATATATAACAATCATTTTCTGAAAAGAGTGCTGTTTTCTATGCCCAACTCAGAGTGGCGTAAACAGAGATGTAGCCAATCCTTGACTTGGCAGAGGGGTATGAAGGGGATCATGAAACGCTTGAGTGCTATCGGTGCTACTCGCCTTCCAGGATGGGGACCGCGTGATCCTCACTGTGCCTGGTTGGAGACACCACAACATATGGCTGCCAACCGATGTCATTGGCGTTCTTGTTGTCGGCTTCTATTCAGATCGCCTGAGTGAATGTATGGAGGTATGGGCACCTCGGAATGATTGTGTTAAGCTAGCACTAAGTCCCTCCCCCATCCACCTTTATTCTTTTCTTTACAATAAGGCTTTCAAATAAGTCATGGTTGTACGGCAGTGAAGCGTCGGTGTTGAACACTGATGTCATGCTGTCGATTATGATGATGATGCGATTGTTTTCCTGAGAAAAACTGCCTCCACAGCCCAAGACGTCAGGTATATATGGTCTATGAGTTTTCATCAAGTTGTACGCGAATTGGCAGCTAAACTCCGTTTCAAATTACATCAGTGTTGATGGGGAGCTCCGCGAAACCCCCTACCATGTTAAGGTACTGCGGAAAAATCGTTACAGTTAACAGAATATCTGAGAGAATGGAGAATATCTATTTTTGAGGTAACATGCTACTCATAAGATTTATTTTTAAGGTGTAATGCGCAAGCAAGTGCATTTGGTCGAAATTTGGATTACTTCAGTAGTGTACATTCCAATCAATTGCGTCGTGCTACTAAAAAGTGCTTATGGCACAAAGATTCCGGAACCGGATATCCGCATTTGGCGGTGGGCATAGCTAGATTGAGCAAATCTGATGTCTCTAACCCGCGCGATCTAAACAGGATGTCAATGGACCGACCAGGTGCGTGTTCAACACTGTTGCACAGGTTTAAACCGAAACAGGGACTAGTGAACATCTGAACTTCGTGGATCAAACAACGGGGTCACGTGTTGTGGTTGAATTCAGGACACAAGGATTCGGGGAGTAAATACTGACCGAACTGATAATGGATCAAGACTCAGAGGATATAAATACTACTAATTCACGCATTGGATTCCAAATCACTTGAAATGGCAATGAGATTCTTATCGATTCTCGTCCTAATCACTGTAGGATTGTACACATCTGGTCAACCGTAAGTTTCACACTCACTCTCAGTTCTCATGTTTGCCTAGCTGGGACGAAAGCACAGAAGATTGCAAACGACCTCAAGTGAGTTTCACTCAGCCGCTGTTCATTGAACAATGCTCAGACGCAAGTGTGTCGCCGCTTCCTCGGTGAATTGGTCAGATTCTACAAAGAAACCAAGTGCAATGCAATCAAAGCGACAAGAGAGTTTTTCGAGCGAGACCGATTGGGCCAGAAGATTCTGGAAGTACGCGAGATCTGTAAGTTCCTCTCTGGATGTAACAGTCGACTAATATTTTGCTGTAGTGATGAAGCGACTGGATTACTATGCAGAACAGTACTCAAAGGGGACATTGCAGTAGGACACGTGTTGTCATTCTTAGTGTGTTATTTGACACTGTCGTTTGTACATCATTAACGCCGACTTCCATTCTTATACGCATGACCGTAAAAATCTTGTTATCCTCATTTGCTCACTTCGTTTGGTACACGATTTGCGCATTTCCCGAGAATAAACTTTCGATTAGAACGTGACCACATGATTTTTTTGATTTGAACCAATGGGAGAGAGGATCATCTTTGGGTTCTGGTGGCTGAGAACTCGGGAGGGAGGGGTTTGGCACGTTTAGAAATTGCACACAGCTTTGACACAAGAGCAAAATAGGCATAGTGAAATCTGTGGTTATTGATCTCAGTACTCATTCCTTTCACCCCTGACGCACGTCAACACCCCGTAGTTTCTGGTATAGGATTGCACGGAAGATCGACTCATACACTGTAACAGTGATACTACTGATGAGGGAGGCATGTGAGTAGTATGTTTTCTTCTTTTAAATTCGCTTTGCGTCTCTTGAAACGTGAGATCTGCTGCGTAATTTGTGGAGTCGCTTTGTAGCATTTGCTTAGATTTGAGCAACAGTCAATGCATATCCGGGAAAGTTCAGGAAGACGCGTTCAGGAGAAGATGGATGTTCAGTTTTTGTAAACTAGATGCATATGAGAGATTTGCTCCCCTGTCCAATAGTCTGTAACTGAGGCCGTAGAATTTTACATTAGGAACTCGATCTGCCTTTGAAGTCAGTCTGTGCCGGAAAGCTGAGAAGCATTGTACAAAGGTTTTGCACTGTCCAGTTGCGAGCTAGTCACACTGCTAATCAGCCGCTCGTGGCTAGACTGTTGAATGTCCAACCACTGGCAGGGAGGTCGCGGGATCGAGGCTCACCATGGAAGTTTCTTGAGATATGCACTGATGAAGATTTCCTGTAAGGATCTTCACCATGAATTGGCTTCACCGGCAGGACGAAACCTTCCTTCACAATCAAAAAGTCTCCACGCAATACGAACCATCGTTTTCACGCGTCGAACTTACTATCCACCAAGTTTTGGCTAACAAGGTTGCTTAGCCGAGAGACCAGACTTCTTTCGTCCTTACAAATCACCGTGGTGTCAAAATTCGGGCTAGTATCTGAGTCACAAGACGAGTCAGGTGCTGACGAAAACTGCTATGCGGTATGCTGACGACTCATCTGATAAGTCTGGCTCTTGCATTTCCACACACACACACAGATCAGCTTAAAAAGCCCATGGATTTGATAGTGAGCAAGGGTTGCGTGCAAGTGCACGTCTGTCCGAAGTATCCACTTTGTTTTCCGACAAATAGCCTGGAGGTTTGGACTCTCCGAAAGGAGGGGCACCAAGCAGGGAGTTTCCAACTCCGGGAGCACTGAGAGAAGGTTGAATGTGCCGTATAAACAAGTCTAAGCCACCCCAGTGCTTCTCAGCTTTTCAGCATAGATTAGTGGGAAATATCGATTGGAAATTCCAGAATCTTGTTGCACTATCAACAACCGTATGGATTATCCAGCACTCCTGATTTTTTTCATTATTTTGTAAAATAACGCTTTCTGAGCATCATTATTTTATACTGTCATCATTCTGCGCGTTATCACAGAAGCACTCTGTGCCTGATCGTCACGGAGTATGATGTGAGAGGAATCAAATCGGGCAACGACAAAAAGGATTGTTTCTTGTCATTGATGTAACGGTGTATACTACTGACGAAGTTTGCGAGTAGCGTATGGTCTGGCGTCTAAGCTCCGCCCCCGCATCTGACCGAAGGTGATGGCTACTAAAAAATTACTGAACGATTTTGAAGTGTTTGCTAATTTTTGTTTAATATTCAGGAAACGTCCAGAAAATTTTGGCGGGACAGTTTGGAACGTTCAATTTAAAAAACTGTGGAAAAATATCTAATTTTGTGTCTTATGGCCCTATTTCGTTTGTGTTTGCCAATCAACAGTTTCGCATCGAAGAGCGTTTCTTCTTTAACCGGTAGTTCTCCCCGCCAAGCCAATAAGAACACATCACAAGTTGATGCACATTTGAAGCTAGCTTGCGGTCTAACCAGGAGGTTCGATAAATCAAACTAACCCTTTGATTATGAAAGCTTTGTGTACTCCAAAACAATTCATCCGTGCACAGAAAATCCACTGGTCCCTGTGCGTTGACATTCAACTGAATGCGATGTGAAGTCTGGATGTACTGCAACTTAGTGAACGAATTTGTACTTCAATGGTAAAGAAAAACAATTTCGCGCTTTAATTCGTCTCCATGGATTGCTTTGTAGCATTAAAACAAAGAACCCGGTAAATAAACAAACACTTTCGACAAATAAACTCATTTGCGAACCAGTTTGGTTTTCACGGGAGACTCAAGTGAATCTCTCGTTTATGATGTTCTTTAACTGAATATGCTACACACAGGCCGCCTCATGTTTCATTTGGTACGATATTCGAGATATCGCAGTATATTTTCCTAAAGGAAACTACTCACGAGGTTGCTGAAAATTCTTCGACAGCCCACGACCGGTTTCACTCTTCTTGGGGCTCATCAGGTAAGCGCAGTCCCCGAGTTTCCGTAATCCTCATGTTCTACCTGAACATAAAGTACACTGATTTCGGCAAATATACTCATTTCCAAACCAATTAGGTTCACACGAGGGACTGAAGTGAATCATGAACCAGTCAAAAATTGCCCGTTTTCGAACCTCGTCTGGTTGATGAGCGGAAAAGTGGAATATCTTCTTTTCCTGCAGAGGAAATTTTCACCTGGAAAACACTTCAGGTTTTTTAATGACAATGCACACAGGCGTTTGCTTGAAACCTTGTCGTCCTGGGGCTGCACGTGTGTTCAGATGCTCGATCACCTCTGGCCGCGGTTTCATGTTCCCTCTATTACCGGGGGTACAGGTTGACACCAGCTGCCCGGAGGGGGGGACCACCCCGGGGCGGAACCACCCACATAATTTAGTTGGTCGACTACCCAGACGTAGGCGAGGAAAAGACGAAGTCGACGGTGGACTGGACTTTGTGACCGACAAAGATGTGGAAAGTGAATACAATCCAGACGAAACGGCCGCACGAAATGAAACAGTACCAGCTCAGTGTCATCGCAGCACTGTCTCTCCCAAAAGTTTTTATTAGCCGTGAATCCAGCATCTTTCTGGGTTTCCCAGATTTTTCGATTCACACAGCGCTTACACGTCTCGACCCTGAATTTTTGTTAACAGATACACTACTCATGAGTAGTGAAAGCAAGCTGTAAATGATGGTAGTCGGCATGCTCCTGGGAGGCAACCAGCAGTTACATGAAACCACTCGGCTGATTTCCGACGGGGAAGTCATTCAAAGAATCTAGGGTAACACATGAACCCTTGGGATACGATCACCCGGTGGCAATCGTGCTAACGCTATTCTGTCGGTCTTCCACGTGATTTACCATTTTGATTAGCCTATCAGAGTAACTCTTCCAACCGTAAACATCCAAAGGTCTGTCACTGCTAAATCCGCATGACAGGCTGATTGAAATGAAGAGTTGTTGACTTCAAGTGGCTGCACGGCTGGTGTGACGACCTCATGACCTCATTGAAGAAGGTAAATATTATTGGTTTGTTGGAATAGGCGAGTAGCGATTGCTATTCACTTTCGACTTCATTCTTGGGGCAACAAACAATGGATCACCTTGGCATTGTGAATGGTATATAAACCTTCTGCGAGTCAATAAAATTCGAACTGTGTTTGCTAAACCGGTGCGGCGATGGCTCGGATACTGGTCGGTTTATTCTGCGTTATTTTGTGCACAGTCATGTGTCAGTAAGTATGCACTCTCATCTCGATTGAATTCCGTTCAGTGCTATGACAACTGGTCAGGCGAAGGGCCCTCTGGTAAGCTGCGGTTATGGCCACGCGCGTCTACCTCTCACTTGCAGGATATTTTGAAAAGCCTGATGGAGCGGGTGACCACGATGTGTGTCATGCATTTTCACAAAAACTACCCAGTATTTCGAGAATATTTGAAAAAGGATCAGGTTGACGAAAAGTTGACGAAACTGGGGAAGATTTGTAGGTTTTTTTAAAAAATATCCTCAGGATAGTGTTTGAACAAAGAACACGTTGATTTATTCTCACCAATTTGACCTTGTTTCCCTGTTTTTCAGTGGTTGCTCGACTGAATGAGCGCTTGAACATGTTGGAGAAGCAAGGCAAATAAGACATTCATAAATTGAATTTCCACGTTTGCTACTTGCTGAAATACACTTTTTTTCTGAGCTGCGCCTGGAAAATTGATTGTCAAACACATTTGGAGTCGGGCTCCCTTCTAAAATGATCAAGCAAACCCCTTACAAAAATATGTATTTTACTGAAGTGAACGTCAAGTGATAAACATCGTGTTTACGACGTCCGAAGGGGACAGCTAATAGTAGTATATAATAGTATAGAGTGGTATATAATAATATGACTATACCAGATCCTGGTTATTGGGTTACATGACAACCAATAATACTTGGTGACGCTGACCATGAAAGGATTCAAATCAAGTTGCTATGCGCTGTTCCGGAAGGTGAAATGCTTAGCAGATCACCGAGAACTTCCTCAGCAGTCAACCTCACATAGTTCAAAAGTGGTTCACCTATGGTACCTTCAAGATGTTAGTTAGCGTCTCGCTTTCTCGTGCTTTTTTGTCAACCTGAAATTGTGGTGTTCTCAAGAAGCTTGTGTCTTTGTGGTTTGTCATTCAGAAAAGTGATTCAGGTGACTCAGGTGTGACCTGGTGGAGGTCAGGAGTTTGAGACTGATTTCGGTAGGGTCGATTTTCGGACCACGAAGCGGGTTTAGATACGTTACTGTTCTTCGCCCATAGCTCAAGTATCCAGTCAGTTTGGCCGTTGGCAAACTCGCCGTGGTGGGTTCACGGAATGACCGGGGGACAGAAGTGACTCCGACGTCACCGTTTTCGGATTGCATTTTCCGTCATACGTTCTGTGGCCCTCCGTTGCCTAACTGAGCCGGGTGATCATCACAAGTCATGTTGATGACGTCAGTGCGTCTTGGTGAAGTGAAGCGCGTCAAATTAATTGTTACTTCCACAACGATCCGCGAATGACGCCAGTCGATTGGCGGTACGATGTCTGCAGCCCAGTTGTCGAACAAACCCGCTACAGAAAATGAACTACCGACTTTCTCTTCTGTGGGGAATTACAAGCCCTTCCTACTATCACATTCAGTGTCCCCTCTGATAGGCCAATGACGATGTTGCAAACAGGCTACTATTTTGGGTAACGTATGTAATCTGGGTGCCCTGTACTGAGATGTGTGAATGAAGGGCTTCGCGTACTCTTCAGCGGTACTCTCCAGCTCAGGCAGGTTTTCAACAGACAGGCCGTGGAATGGTCCTACTAAAGTGTCTTGGTTTTTGTACAAGATCTGTCTGTCAAAACTAAACACATTCAGGTGACTCAAAAACCTTTTGCATCGTATTCGGTATGTTCTAAACAGGCCGTTCAAAGTTCAGTCCACATTCAAACTCGCACCGACTCTAGTAGACACTGAAGGTCGAACAAACCATCCAGCAAAAAGCCAAATGTCATTTTGTATGCAATTTTTAAAACGATAGTTTGATGTTTGAAATGGACAGACGTGACAAATCCTAGCATCTTTCACCTGTAAACACACAAATACGGTATGCAATATTGGACGTTTTTAGCAATAACCTTATCACGGTCTGTTAATCAATACACCATCTGCCCTGCGTGAAGAAAAACGATCGTTCGTACGCAGCTGTCATCACGTGACAAAAAAGTGAGTAAACGAATGACGAACAAAGCTGTCATGAAAGCTTTAGAGGCTGTAGGTTAGAGACAAGATCCCCCTGTTGGTGAAACTGTTAGAATCCTAGACACTTGCTGACCTATGTTATATCGATTTTTACAGTAGTAATAAACTAGTATGAGGCAAATGAGTGTATATTCGCTGATCTCATGCAATTTGGTTTCAAGTAGAACATAAGGTTGGCGGAAACCCGGGGACTGGGCCTACCTGATGAGCCCCAAAAAGGGCGAAACCGGTCGTGGGCTGTCGATGGATTTTCAGCAACCCTATGAGTAGTACATTACAAAAATAGTATGAGGCAAGTTGCCAAGGTGGAGTCAGTGGGACGATGATGTCAAACTTACTGGTTCAGTAAGGCCAGCCGGACCACTTGAATGTTTGGTGAGTGTAAACAAACAGACAAGCCTAATATCAGAGATTTCATGTGGGGATGTAACACAATTTCTAGCTTTCCGGGGGTAGTATCTCCTTTTACGGACGGCATGTTGATCAGGGCATCAGTTGAGTTTACCCGTTCGTCAGATTTCATGTGAATCTGTCCACGGGTGTGGTAGGTGTTGCTTTGGGAAGTCTGTTTGATACCAAGTCAAACTGCTTGGGATATCAGAATTCCTTGTTGTCCGTTCATTTCTGGGTCAGAAGTGGTACGTGAACATGGGTTAAAAGTACAAACTTGACACTATCACCGCACCTGAATAAACTGATGTTGTCAAGGCTACGCGCAAAGTGTTCCAGCGATTGAACAGGGCAAAGACTGAATGGGTGCCTGAACAAACGGTCGCACGCAAAAAGTGGAAATGTTATATGTGATGATTCGTCAATCTGTGGTATCTGCTGCTGACCCGCTCCAGTGCCTAATGCCGGAGAAAAAAGACTCACAGAAGGGAACACAACCGATATATCCGAAATGAAAGAGAGTGAATGCGTGCGAGTGTTAGAGAAAAAGTTACAGCGGCCCCACGCTATTTAAAGGGGACTTTCTGACATTGATCCGGGCTGTTTGATAGGCGTTAATGAACACCCATCAAAATCGATCGTGCCTCTACGAAGTGCCTGAACGCTGATCACATTCGGTCGTGCTTCTGTGGCGTGCAAGAACACTCATCAGGTTTTGCTGAATTGATTGAATGATTGACTGGCCTGGATGCTTGCCGGCTTTCCTGTTGAGTTTTTGGTGGAGCAGTAGGTTTCGGGCTTTCTGAGGTTACATTCAGCAATCTGACCTTCCTGATAGAATGGTTAAACGAGAAACTGAATCGGAGTTGTTGATTCCGAAAGGCTTTTTCTCAAGACGTACGGGGACGTTAAATCCTACCTGTGGGCACCGCAGAACGACTTTGAAAGGATAGGGTAGCCCATCACTCTCGTCCAGAAATTTGCTTCGATTAAGTGGCTTACGTCGCGTCTGTCGAAAACTGGTGTCATAGTTTTCAGCAGATATTTTTGGGAGGATCACGCGGCATTGAGTGAATCATATTCATTGCTCACCTAAATTTCTTCTGGGTTAGTCACCTTTGGTACCGTTGTTGACCACATTCCCTTAATGCCTTCTCAATACTGTGAACTCCGGTCTGGATAGCCACCTGGTGCGATTGGCCAAAGCAGAAAAATCAATGAACGTGCGAGCCAGCTGACAAGCCGTCTATTTGAAACCAGCTGATTCTCAGGTGCAACTTGAGAAATACTGGGAATATCCAGTTAGAATACCATGTTTGAAGGTCGTATGCATCTGGTGCACTTTGTCAGCGAAGACTGTCGTTTTTACGACTATTCAACCAAACATGGATTTCGAGATGGCTGGGTAGTTGAGGCGGGAACCTACTGCACGCAAGTTGTTGGTTCGAACCCAACCCTGACTGTTCCGCTCTAGACTGCGACAACTTAGCAGTGTCACATCCCTGGTTCTCCCTTCCGGTCGCGTGGTCACCAGGCACCAAAAATGAGTGATTTTTCATTAGTGACCGAATGCGCTACATAAATGCTGAAACAATATCAAGAATAGAGAGACTGGCTCTCTTTAGAGGAGAATGTTGGTAGCTCAGGTAGCGTAGCTGGTCGTTGGCTTGTTCGCTAAGCTGGGCAATTTGACTGCAAACGTTTCATCACCAATCGAGGAGACATCATCAGTGTGTTATTGGGGAGCATAGTGGTGCGTAGCGGTGGGTTGGTGGTTGTGCCACTGGTAATGAGCTGTTCAACAATTTCGATTCACCGATAGGAAAAGTCACCAACGGGATCAGACTCTTCGTTTCGCTCGAATATTTGTATTCATGATGAGTGGCTAACGTGAGCTGATTCCGGTTGCCATTCGAACCAGCACCTTCGTTGTTTTCAACCTCTGTCAACTTTTGTGTGTATCTGCTAGTGTTATAGCATTGTGGATAGCCGGATGAACAAGACCTCCAAACAAAGGAGTTCACCGTTTATGTTAGGTCTCGAGTAACAAGTAGATGTGTGTCCAACCTCAGAGACAAAACCTTTCATGTTGATCCTAAGTTTAGTAAACACAAGGACACATGCGTATCTGGGTTCCGTGGACGATCGGAAATCGGACAATACCGGTCTCTGACATAATGGAAGGCACTCAGTTGTCACAACCGCATGGTCAAAATACAATGTTAAATCGGCGCACTATCAACGTTAACTTATTCGACTGTCGGTTTCTCAAGTCGAGGTGAATGAAGGGTATATCAATTAGATCGTTATCTACCACACCATGACGCGATGTCCCTTTTGGGTGGGAATGTTTGGACAAAACTTGTGTGATTAAGCAGACGATGAGCAGGACGAATTGCGCGTACGAGAGAAAACTTGCAAAACACTTGAACCGGAGAGGAAATACCGCGCAATGAAATCTGAGTCGAAACTCAACCAGAAGGAAAAAGAAACTGTTGTGATGCTTTACAGTTCCGCATTTGATCACACCTTCCTTTTGAATCCCTAAAAAATACCCCTAGTTTTCGAAAAATTCAAAATATTGGGATAGGCGGCGCTGATTAAATGAGGATAGGAACTGTTGTGATGCTTTACAGTTCCGCATTTGATCACACCTTCCTTTTGAATCCCTAAAAAATACCCCTAGTTTTCGAAAAATTCAAAATATTGGGATAGGCCGCGCTGATTAAATGAGGATAGGTTGGGTCGAGAGATTGAACACTTGGAATTTGTGACCACAGCGATATCCAGAAACCAAACGGCTGACTGCTTGGTCGCTACCGTGTCTTCATGTTTCACTTGCAATACGTGGGTAACAGAAACTGTTTTCAGTCTCCTAGGAGATGGAATTTCGTAGAACACTGTGCGTTTTGTTACTTTGTTTGACACCTTAGTCAACGGCGGGAAGCCACCGTAAGTAGTCAAACTGACTGCTAGAAAGTGGCTGTTTTTTAACCATAGTAGATAATTTTATCTGGTATCCAGCTACAAATGAGCCATTCCTACATACAATTTATGTTCTCTTACTTTCTGCTTACACGTGACACACAACAAGCATTGATTTTTTATGATGCCAGTTTGATTCGGGCCATTAGAGAGTAGACTTGTGTCAGTATAACTACTGAGTAACACTCACCGCTTGCTCGCCTGATTTGTGATCCACTGCGTTTTGTTCCATGTAAAAAACACCATCAAGTTGTTCACTGTCATTTTTACCGTCAGAGCTGAAGTCTTGTTTACACATTCCGCGACTAGTGAAGAGAATTCGATTGCAAAGGCCAGTATTCCAGCGGCACAGGTGGCGTCCATCTTATCAGTTTCTATCCAAATTAATCGACTGAATGGTGGAATGGGGGTACTTCGGATGTTGGTTGTGGGCTAACCCTCTCTGTCCTTTTTCACCCTTCCTTTCATTACAAGGATTTATTCAAATAAACTGACATCATTGGACGGCAGTGAAGTGTCATTGTTCCCATCCGATGTAGCTACAAGTGATGATGATGATGATGATGATGATGATGACGAGTGATGATGATGATGATGATGATCATGATCATGATGCAGGGTTGCTGGTGGCTGAAATTCAGAATCCAACTATATGTATATTTATTCGAATAATAAACGGCTGTCTTAAGGCTTCGGTGTGGTGCGGATCGGATTTGCCCATCGGTAGTAGCGAAACCATTCAGCATAGCTGGACAGCCGGAGATCGCTAAAGTTGAGTCAAACGTAATTCCCTGGTCGACCTGTAGAGGACAGTGTCTCCGGGAAAACATCTGTTGACCTATCCAAAACAATATGTCTTAAAAGTGAACACCGGAACTCGGTATTAGCTAGGCAGTAAAGTTCCTACAGTATCGTCGTAGTACCAGCGCCGTGCAAGTTATCCGGGGGATGACGTATTATCGCATTGTCAAGGTGTTAATGGACACCCTAGCGGCACTTCGTAGCTCCGTGGTCAATTACCTGATCGTCCTAAAGAGGATAGTGTCAATCAAGCACTGATTAGAAAACGGAACAAAATTACCTTAGCTCCAGGTGATTGACCGCTGATTGCGAATGCACGGCGGCCCACAAGGCCGACCCTCAAAAGGTATGTGCGTACACAAGATCAACTGTCGGTGACATAAACGTTTCTCAACACCGCGGCACATCAAGTCCCACATAACACGGGAGTTGATGAGCTGTTCTGGTTGGCTTCCATATGTGTTGCTGTTACCGATTCCCGGCTGTTGCTAGATCAACAGACAGTCAAGTCAGCTGTTTTTGAAGCCGAACTTGTTGGCTCAGGGTGGCTTGAAGAAGCCATGGAAGTTGTAGAGAGTCTGCTAAACAGTAGCCAGTTCCTACAAATCGAGTTGCCAAATAGACAATGGTGGTTGCTTGTCTGTTTACTGTAACCCAAAATTTTTCAATTATGGTCAACACTAAAATGAGCTAAACGTTCATTGCTCCAGGACAATCATGTGAGCGCCGGATTTCTGGTCGAAAACCTCGCCAGTTGGACAGAAGTCACCACTTTGATAAAAAAAATACTAATTGTTCACCTGTACCACGTTTTTGGTACCTTGCTACCACCTGGGGAAAACAAGAGGGCTGAGCTACCGCCGGGCTGCTCAGGTCTATAAAGGATCGGTCGAGATGCTGGGTTCGAACCAGGAGCCTTCCGATCGGCGAGTTCACCCCTCAACCACTGATCCATTCTACAGGCTGGATCGAAAATGGAACTGGTAGGCAGTTGTAAGTTGTATCCACTTGGGATCAACTGCATTCCGGGAGTGTAAATTTACGTCATCCTGAGAAGCACAAAGTTGCCTACCGTCAGCTCACTCAAGTTTCTGAACTGTTTGCCCAGAACCCATCATGACTTTTGTGAAGCCGTTGATGAATTTCCAAAAAGATGAACAAATAATCGTTCAGATGTAACATCCTTTCGGTGCTTGGCTACTTCTTCACCAAAAGGGAGTACGGGAGCTGGGACACTGCCAGTTTGCCCAAGCTAAGTTAGGAGAAGTCAAGATGAAGTGGTCGGGTTTGAACCACGAACCGTTCGGTCAGTAAATTTGCGCCCCGATAACTGAGCCATTTTGATCAAGGTTGTCCAGCTGTAGCACCGTTTTGGTGCCTGGCTATCAGGCCACCAACTAGTAGCTGATATGAGCACCCCACACGAATCTGTGTGGGAAGGCTGGAATCCAATGCCCTCGGACACTCTACATAAATGCATTACCTTCCAGTATCCCTTCAAAGGTACCTTTTGCTAGTCATTTTCAATCATCTTCTCTGAAGGGAAGAAGGATAAAGGAAGAACTCTTGTTTGGGGTGGTCGCAGCGGTTCGTACTGCCGGTTACACTCTAACGTAGAACCATAACATCACAGGAGCCCTTTGATGCAAGAGGTTCTTGGTTCAACGACCTGAAAGATCTTCCATAGCGCCCCTTGGCGACCCTTTATGCAATATTACCGACATATCTGCAGTTAGACCGATTTTCAGGCCTGACTAAAAACGTGCCTCCAGAATATGACTTTCTTCAATCCAAGCTGTGGTCGGCGATACTTGGTTTACGTTTCTGTGTTCGTGTGAGTAATGAAGCTCAGTCAACTTTTGCGAGGTCGTGTTTTGTGACTTTTAAGTCACAGATTATTAGGACTGGGCCAACAACACAATGAAAGACACCATATGAGGCTAGACCCGGGGTCGTCGAAACGAGAGTTCAAGACCGACTGGCCAGCTCAGCCGTCAGTATGACTGATACAAGGCAAAATTACTTCAAGGCGCACAGAGTGTGAAAGACTAAAAGGGAAGCTCACACTAGCGCGCAGTTTTTCCAATAAACGGCCCAGAAATACACAGGTGAATACGATCAGATTGTGTTGGGTGAATTGGAATCCTTGACCAATCGTATGGTTTGTGAAAACTCTGGAATGCCTGCTGTCAGTTGTACCCTCCTTGGAGTTCCTCGACTAGGCCTTCTCCCTGCATCTTCTTCAGCCTTATCCATTTCTTGAACACCACAATGAGCGTGTGATGGAAGTTGATTCGGGAACGCATCAACAGAATTTGTGGTACATGGTACATTCCCAATGTCTCCGCGGGAACCATAATCAAAATATCGAGCGTGTTTCGATACTACTTATGTATCATTTCTAGTACTATCTTCTACCAAATCTATCTAATGGACCTCAAAATGAATGCAAACCACAGGGGCCTGCTCAAGTTTTTATCGGCCATATCGATCATCGTTTAAGTGAGGCAACCTTTGTGCGGCATATTCATTTGGGATGCGACTGTGGTCCAGGTGAGTCCTGACTTACAACTGAATTCGTAGTTAGCTAATGGTTGATTACCACAAAGTAGGCTAGATTATTCCTCAGCATACTACCGAGTTAAAAGTAGAGCCACAAAACGGTGGAGCAATAGAGAGAGAGAGAGTGAATCTTGTACGTTGAATAAAATTGCACGTAGACTGTTCAGAGCTTAACTTTGCCATAGGTGTCCTGCTCAAAGGTAAAAAACGAGTTGTGCTCCTAACAGCTCAAACTCACAGTGACTTGATTTCGTTCATCATTCACACCCACAATGACAACTTTTCAGCGAGCGAGGAAATGGACTTTTCCAGAAAATATGTCACGCCTTGGATGAAGGAAAACGCCTATTTGCCGTGGCGGTGAACATTACTCACGATTCGACCGAGTCCGATATGCCACCCTCGGAATCAACTATATCGGTCAAAGGAAGAAGGCCTTCACCGCGGAGTTGTTGACTGAAGAAACACCAACTGAACAGTTACAGACTATTGGACAGAGGAGCAAAACTCTCGTATGCATCTTGTTTACAAAATTAAATATCCATCTCCTCCTTGAATGCATCTTTCTGAACTTTCCTGGATATCCATTGACTGTTATTGAAATACAAGCAAATTCTACAGAGCGACTACACACATTCTGTAAGAGATCCCCCTTTTCAACGAAGGAAAAACGGATTTACGAGAAAACAGACTACTCACATGCCTCATCAGTAGTATCCACCTTTACAACGGCATTCTACTTACACCTTAACTACCATCATTCTGGATCGTGGAAGAAAGACGAAACACAAGATGAGCAATGCCGAAAAAACGAAATGTATGCCATCGAAGCCTAAAAAATGCGTTGAATACATTACGCGCGGTATTTATCTTCTCAAAATATCGTGCCCTTCCAAAAAACATACTCGTCTGTAATCTTGGAAGTTATGCGAACAAATGTAAAATTCAAAAAACGCCAGTCACAAGTGGTTGCGTAATTTTCGAAATGCGTGACATTACCCGACTGGGACGTACTGCGGGACTGGTCAGTCGACCGATACATCATGTGACCCAATCACGTCTTTCAAGGATGGACAGGTCGCAAGTGTTTGCGTGACCTTCCGAATACGTGACATTGCCCGACTGGGACGTACTGCGGAACTGGTCAGTCGATCGATACATCACGTGAGCCAATCACGTCTTTCAAGGATGGACAGGTCATCGCCAGATAATCAGGTGACTGCTGCATGCGCTGGTGGAGTAGGGGCGGGGGTGACATTCTCATCTCGCATATCATTCCAAGCACCGCCAACGATATGCACTGTTGATGAGTTCTAGCGAAAGTGAAACTCGAACCCGGTGATTCCCTCATCAGAATAATTACTTCCCCAGGACAGGAGGAACACTGTCCATACGTAGCATAAACACCGTTTGATCTGCGAATCCTTAAATAATAATGGAGAGATTTTTGCGCTTTCGTCTGTCGTTTAACTTCATTGTCAAAATCTGTTCACTAAAATAGATTCCTGTTAACTATTCTGACCTTTCTTGTTCGCGTGCAAAAGCCTCAGGACTGACCGTCTTCTACCGTGTGAAGGAAAACGCCCCAAGTTCCAGTGTGCTTGTCATTCCGGAGAGGAGGAAAGAAAACGGGCATTACGTGTAGAGGAAGGAAACTCCGGATAGATAACACCATGTATCAGGAAGGTCAGATTCCTGGAAGTAACTCCAGACAGCCCAGAACCTACTGAGACCCTAAAACTCCACCAAACTCTCAATAGGAAAGTTTGTAAGCATCCAGGCCTGTCAATCGCTCAATCAATTCAGCAAAGACCGATGAGCGTTCATGCAAGCCACAGAAGCACGACCGACCGTGATCAGTGTTCAGGCACCCGATAGAAGCACGGTCGATGTTGATCGGTGTTCACTAAACGCCTATCAGACTGTCGAAAACTGCCCTCTAAATAGCGCGTTGTAAATTTTGCACTCGAACGCACTCGGTTGTTTGGAATAAAGCTGCT